AGCTGTTTCCCAGGCTGCCAAGCAGGTTCACAATCTTTGCCTTTAGCACCCAATCAGTCAACAGGCACCTTCTGAGCCTCCCTGCTGCAGCTCACCTGAGCTCAAACCAGGTGGACACCTTCAGAGGTGTCTTCCAAAGCAGCAGAGTTGTTGTGTTGGTGCTCACAGGGTGGATGATGCTGGAGCCAGCTGAGAAAAATCTTCACATCAGCCCTGGATCCCTGCCTAGGCAGGACGGATGCTGTGGTGGGATGAGGAAGGACTTTCCAAGGAACCTTCCTGTTGCTGCAGTGAGGCTTGGGAGCCTGGTCTCCATTTCCATCCACCATATCAAGCAGTTTTGAGCGAGATGGTTCTTTCCTGGCCTCAGTGTCTCTGCTTGGAAAATGGGAATGATTACACTTGGCCATCTGTGTGGAATGTTTTGGTTGCTAAGAAAAAAATGCTTATCAAATACACTTGGCAATCCTGTAGTTCCTTGTGTCAAAGCCTTTTTTATCCATGTTTCTGCCCATCAAAAATCTAAGTATTGTCTCAGATCTATCCAGAAAAAGAATGGGAATTAGGTAGCAATATCTGTGTTCCAAATCGACTCTCAACATGCTTATTCTCTATGTTAAACAAAAGGCAACTTACAATTATGTTGTTAACTTATAATTGATCAATTCACCAGTTTTTCATAGGCAAAAAAACAGGTGGGCACTTGCTGTATACCTGCAGGTTCCCAACAGGCACTCTCTTGCCCTCAGCAGGACCTGTGTGACTGTGGAAAAAACTTGTGCAGTGCTATAACAGTTTGATCATAGGGATTTTTAACTCCTCATATTAAGGTTTTCATCTCAACTGTTTTCAATGAAGAACAACTTTCCCACACATAGTATTCTGACAATTTTTCATATTTTTCTTTCTTTGTCCCAGTTAACATTAGGAAATAGTATATACCCATATTTTTCTTTCTTCGTACCAGTTAACATTAGGAAATAGTATATACTACCAGTATATACTGAAGTATATAAGCATATATAATATATAGTAAAAGTATTCTCTATATACCAATATATAGTGATAGTATATACTATTTCCTAATGTTATACTTAAGGCAATACTATGTAAGTATATATAATAGTATCATTGATTTAACTAGTACTACTAGTGTATATAGGATATTATATATTAGTATATGTAGAATATGATGTACTTTGTTATAAACACATGTATTTGGCATTTTGTAATATATAGGGTATTATATATTAGTATACGTAGAATACGATGTACTTTGCTATAAACACATGTATTTGGCATTTTGTAATTGATGTTCTCTTTCTCTTAGGTTCAGTCAACTCTCACCTCCAAGATGATGGCAGAGGTGCCTGGAACACTTGAGGCAACAACACTGGTAGGAAAAGAAAGCCCAAATACCACATTATGGGAAACACTGGGAAACTATATGGAGCCACTTGATGGT